TGCCGATTCTTTTTTTTTTCAGTCTTTTTTCTTTATAATAATAAATATTTTTAAATAAAATAAAAAATAGTAATTATTATTGTTAGTAGTAGTAGTTTTAATATATATATATATATATATATATATATAAGTAAGCTTAGCCAACACTAGCACAACTCTATCTGATCAGACACATATTTTTTTTCCACAGTCCAACAGGCAAAATCCAGATCTGCAAGACAGACAGACAGACTCACCCGCCCGCAGCTGCGACGTGCAGACATGTCCTTCCCAGGTTGTCTGGTGTATCGATTAGGAAGCCTGCAGACAGGACCGAGTCATTACTGAGAGGGAACATTATGCTATAGCTCCGTCCTGTAGAGGAATGGAAGTATGGGGAGGAAGGATGCCGTGCATGGAGGAGAAAAGTGTCCCCACACCCAGACGCAGACAGCCACAGTGTCAGATCGCAGGAGGGGAAAGAATGACACGGGGGAAAAGGAGTCCAAAAAAGAGACAGTGTGAAAGAAAGAGAGATGGAGAGAAAGGATGTTAGTTCAGGAAAAACAAAGACAGTGCACAGAGGATAGACAAGACAAACACACATCACTCACAGAGGTGAGAACACAAATGTGTGCAACCAAGCAGAACAATTCAAAAGTACAGATTTAGCATCTACCATCTAAAACAACAAACCAACAATCAAGAGTCAGAGTTAAGAATGCACACAGATATGACATGCCAGACCTAAGCAAAGAGACAATGAGGAAAATTCATGCCCATCAATTCAGAGACAAAAGATCTTTAACTCAAAGTCAACATAATAAACCTAATTACAACAGGAAGTGTTGTGAAGCATTCCTTTAACATAAATTGCCATTTATGAAATAGTCATTTATGAGGAAGTGAGGAAGAGTCACATCAACTTGAGAGGTATCTCATGGTTCAGTACTTCGTCCCTTCCTCATCTCAAAATAGAGCAAAAATTTTTGTATTTAGCCGAAAATGGTTTCCACCAGGTTTCCAATGTTATATAAAGGTAGTGCAACTGTAGCTTGATTTGGTGGTGTAGTCGGTACCTGAGGAGAGAAGCTTCCGGCAGCAGTCAGCATGAGCATTCAGAGCGGCCAGATGCAAAGGAAACATGCCATGTACCCCTCTTCTGCAGAGAAGGAAAGAGCATATCAGAAACAACAAGTAATGATGTTTTAGCAAGATTTTTTTATAAAGATCCAAAGACAGAGTCAAACCTGGTGCAGTCAGCTCCACTCGTGATTAGAGTGTTTATTAAAAGTTCATGGCCGTATCGAGCAGCGACATGCAGTGGAGTGTTTCCATCCTTATCGACACAGTCAATCTCTCCACCTGTATCAGAAACACACACTTATACGCTCAATGTACATGATGCAAATCAGTCACGGGGGAAAAGTAAGCTTTTAGCAGGCTACCGTTTTGGATGAGTGTCTGGGAGCGTGTGAATCGTCCATGAACTGCTGTCAGATGAAGAGGGCTTTTCCCATCACGACTCTGAGGAAGCATCAGGAAATGTTTACTAGCGTACAGCACACAGGATTTGGACTGTCTGTCCATATTTGGTCCTAGATAGACATACCTGGACGTTGACATCAGCTCCGCTGTTGACCAGGAATTCCAGACACAGGGCACCATGAGTGGACGCAGCAGCAAAGTGGAGTGGTGTGAAGCCCTTGTTATTCGGCTGACTGACATTAGCACCGTAGTCGATCAGCTCACTGACCACTGCATCTTGTCCATTAAAACAGGCCACATGCAGCGCTGTGTTCCCAAAGGCATTGGCTTCATCTATCTATAAGTAAAGCATGCAATATAATAGTCAGCTCAAACTAGATGTTTTTCCCATGACCCCATGCATCCTCCCCTATATGTATCTATTTGCATCCTGGGTACCTCCACGGCCAGGCTGAGCAGGTGTTTCACCACAGCGATCTGACCGTTGGAAGCAGCTGCGTGTAGAGGCGTGTATCCCCTCTTGTCCTTGCAGCTGATCTCGGCCCCTTGACTCACTAGTAAACACACTACATCTAAGTGACCTGCAGGAGTATAGAGAGAAGCTCATGAACACATCAACACAGATATAGGAGATTAAATGAATAATTCACCTAAAAATGAAAATTCTGTTATTAGTTACTTTCCCTCATGTTGTTTCCAACCCATGTGACTCACTTCTGTAGAACACAATAGGAGATGTTTTCCAGAATATTGACTCTTGTCCATAAAACAAAATTAGAAAGTGTCCATTGTCTGTCAGGCTCCAAATAGAACACCATAAAAGATCCATAAAACTATTCCATATGACTTAACATAAGTCTCAGCATAGGTTTTCTGAAGCCATTTAATGGTTTTGAGTGAGGAAAAAAAACAATATGAATGTTCGTAAGTGCAAATGTCTTTAGAAGACTTAGAATATTGCACATAATTAGTATGTACAGGAATACAACATTGCCAAATAATGGTATGTAATTATTTTTTTGTGATTCTGTTAATATGATAATTAAAAAATATATATATTTTGTTGAGTGTATTTTTTGCTAGTGTTTAGTTCACAGAAGTGATGGAAATTTTAAAGGGGTGATATTTGCCCCCCAAATTGATATCCAGGAGAATTTTTACCTTTATAGTGGCAGTTTTTTTCCAAACCTTATTAAATGCATGCATCATCTTTCATGTAAAATTCTTACATTCAATCAATAAATTCAATTAGAATAATAAGATACTATGGGCTGTTACCAATCAAATGAAACCAGTATTAACAAAATCCATTTCTGAACTACATAGATGACTACAAGCTGCTTCTGAAGTAGCATTTAAATATCAGTGAATCATTCATTAAAAAAAATTGTTCAAAACAGCTTCAAAACTCATTCAAAATGGCTGATTCATTCAGAAACGAAGCAATGGGTTTTAATGAATGGGTTATGCACTCAAACGATTTGTTCAGTAACAAAACGCTAAATATCTCTCTCAGTCTCAGGGTGTGCTTTTGCAAAGTGAGTGCCATACTTGATAATGTCAGCTTGAACATCATTACAACAATTACGGTAGACTATAGATATCGTACACCCCTATTAGTATGGACAACTGGAGTGGTGATGTATGTCCTTTTTTTTAGCTTGCCAGTCCCCAGTAACTCATTTTTTGCATTGAAATGCAATGCAAAATTGCATTTTGCGTTCCACTGTAAAAGACAGAGCATACACGTCACAGTTAAAGTTTCATTTCCTCACCCATATATGCTGCCCAGTGCAGAGCACGGCAGTCTTTCTTGTCAAAGGCATTGATGTTGGCACCCTTGGCCAGGAGAAGGCTAACCATCTGAAAAGAGAAAGAGGAAATTAAATAACAGTGATAAGAAAGAGATGGAGAAATGGAGGAGAAAATGCATGTGTCAGTCTCAATAGGCAGTAAAGCATGAGTCATTAATGCGTCAGTAATTATGGGGCTCCTGAAGCTCTTATTGTGTGCTGCGTGTTTGTGTCACAGTTTATATAATGACTTTCTAAACCATTCTGCATTGCTGAGAGCACAAGAAAATTCTAGTTATGTTGACAATGCTATGCAGGAAAATTAAGTCTGTTTCAACGGGCATGAGAGTTTGTATCTAAAAGCCGTCACTGTCTCAGTCTTTGTACGTGCAACACTTATTAACACTAGACTGCAGAGAAATAAAGCATGATCGGAGCCCTGCAAATGACATGCGGGCAAAAATATATTTATTGTGGCCACAACTTAATAATTTGCTCCAACGAATTAAGAAGCTAATTTTAGTTCAACTGTGGCCACGATTTACTATTCATCCCCCGTTTTATTTAATTAATGAATGCAAATGAAGAATTTGTTCCCACAAATAATTAATTTGTTCAAAACGAGGGAATGAATTAGTACATCATGGCCAGGATTTACTAAAATAAAGGAGCAAATTAGTAAAACATGGCAACAATTTATTGAAACGAGAAAATTAATTTTTAATTTGTGGATACAAAATATATATATATATATATATATATATATATATATATATACACACTTTTTCCCGCATGTCATGTTTGGGGCTCCATAGTATTGCTATGAACTAAGCAACAATTTTTGGTTTCAACTTGCAGTACCTCCGTGTGCCCATTAAGGGCGGCGTGATGCAGGGCGGTGCGTCCCCCGCGATCTGAAACGTTGACGCTGCTCAGGAGCGGGATGATCACCTCAGCACAGCGCAGGGCCTTGTTGGCGGCAGCAACATGCAGCGGAGTCTGCCAGTTCTTATCCCGTGCGTTAACATCAGCAGAATGCCGGATCAATACTCGAACCGCATCCTAGATGTGTGCAAAACATAACAACAACTATGACACTATATCGTGTACTTCAGGCCAGCTGCAATACAACTGACCAGTCAGCATCCAGTGTTGGAAAAATCCTATTATAATCACACAGGAGCTGCTGCATATGATTAGCATTGTTATAAAGGCATCCTGCTGCGTGACAACATTACACAACATTCTAACATGAGTGTGTGTTTAACAACTAAGCCCACCTCGCTACGTGATGCCACTGCCCTGTGGAGTGGAGTCAACCACATGTTGTCTTTGGCATTGACCCGTGCCCCTAAAATAAAGTAGTAAAAGAAACATCAAACAATAATAACCTCAACAAATTAAGGGCTCTATATGCTGTATTTGTAAAGGGGTAGTTCATTCAAAAATGACAATTCTGTCATCAGTTACTCCAAACCATCCTTTATGTTACACGACAAAGAAAACACAGGGGTTTGGAATTAAATGTAATAAACGATGACAGAATATTTACAGTAACTGTACTGTACTGTTTACTAAACTATACCTTTAAAATACTTTAACGTCATTTATTTTATATGAGATGCTGTAAATGTACGATGGAAGGGAGGTGGGGAAGGAATGGAGGGAGAGAGAAAAAGAGAAGCTGTACCTGACACAATGAGGAGCTCTATGATCTCAGCATCTCCGAGGAAGGCTGCTGCATGAAGGGGAGCTCGCTTCTCAGCGTCCTGAGAGAGAATGAAAAAAGACAGCTGGAGAGTCAGACACATGGACAGAGAAAATGGAAAGATTCTGTTAAAAATCAAATCAAAATCAAGTCTTCTACTCCATGTCTATTAGCTTTAAACCCATCTATATGCTAGTGCACTCTTAAAAGTCCACAAGCAGAGTTGATACACATTCGGAATATAATTTATTCCTGTGATGGCAAAGCTGTATTTTTAGAAGCCATTACTCTTCAGTGTCTTCAGGGTTACATAATCCTTCAAAAATCATTCTAATATGCTGAGTTGGTGCTCAAGAAACATTTCTTTTCATTTGCAATGGCATGATACATTATTTTCAAAGGATACTTTGATGAAAGCTTAAAAGACTGATGATGAAGTTTAAAAGAATAGCATTTATTTGAAATAGAAATCTTTTAACATTATAAGTGTCTGTACTGTAACTTTTGATCAATTTAATGCATCCTTGATCAATAAAAGGATTAATTCTACTCAAAAAAAAATCTTACAGACGCTTAACTTTTCAATAGTAGCGTATCTTGGACTTAGAGATGTATAAAAGTTTTTAACCAAAAAAGGACAGCATATTCCTTTAATACCATCTACAACAACCTAACAAGAGCAACTGACAAATCAAATTTTGCCAGCTGGGGCATAAACAAAAGGCTAATGGCTAATTAAAAAAAATGGATGAGCCCTTTGATATGTCTTACCCCAACTTCCTGTTTTCAATAGGAAATAGGCTACAACAACACTAGAAAGACAATTGTGTCTGTCAAACCATTTAATGTGGTCTTTACAGTACATTCCATTATTTTCAAACTCCAAAACCTTCAACATTTTCGAAAGTCACATTGTGGACTGCAGAGTTTTTGCAGAGAATTGGTCATAGACATGGTCACTTCTGAATGCAATATGATGATTGCCATTGCAAGCAATCCACAACAAAAGAGCATTGACTGGCTCTTTACAATCACTGATGGAGATGTCAGTGTGTACTAATGTGCTCACAAACTTGCGGTGGTGACATCTCAACGTGTCCATACTCTGAACCTGTTTGCACATGCAGCCTGAAATCTTGGCTTGACCAGTGGCTCTTTATAAAACATTTGGACAGCGAGCTAATTCTTGCTGGAGCCATTACGGCGGACACAGAGAGACAAGTAGAATAAATAAATATTCTGGAAGAAGAATGGCCCTGAAAACTGTTGTGTCCTGTTGCCTTTACTGAGACAAATGTATATAAATCTCTGGCTGTTGTCCATGGGATTCCTCGACTATTGTGCTGCAAGAAACAAAGAGATGAGATATAGTCATGTGAGAAGAAGAATAAAAGAAACTGATCCATACCAGTGCATTGACATCTTCTGATTTACATATGAGGACACGAATCTCATCGGGGTCTCCATTAAAGATGGCTTGGACAAGGGGTGGCTGTGAAAAACAAGAGATTATTTAAACATGGTTTTTAGGAATAAAAGCATGAAGTATCACTGTTGCTATTGCTCATACTTAAAGCAACTGTAAGTTTTTTTTTTACCTTGAAATATCAGTTCCAATATCATTCTGATAGTACACTAAGTTCTAATAAGGTGAATGGCTTGTGTTTCTTTCCCACACTCACCCTCATATGGAAGCATATAGGTAGCGAAATTCAATTTAAAATGCAGTATGCAAAATGGCAATGCAATATTCAAAATGGCAACGCAATATTCAAAATGGCAATGTATTTCTGTATTTACATTTACATTTTCCATTAACCATACGTGCAATGTTTGGTGCAAAATTAAAATGAAAATTAATTATATAATTTACATTTGCCATTTCCAACAGTAGTCTTAATATGTAAAGTGCATGCAAATTTGAACGCTTTATAAGTTGCGAAATGAAAATGAAAATGTATAACACAAATTGATTTGATATGTGTAACATGTCCAAGCAGAAATGGTAGCATAATGATCATTTAAATGCTATTTGTCCTAAATGCATTTAGACTAACAGATAGAACACTTAGGATTGCATTTTCATCATGACGCCGTGGGATATTTGTAGCAAAATTCAGTGCGGCTTTGAAAATGCATTCGAGCTGACCACGCCCACCCTCCGTCAATCATTGCTTCAAGGCAGGGATTGGCGGAAGCGTGTAACGTTTGGATCGTTTGAAACATGGCGGCTGGAGATCTGATAAGATCGTGGAATTCACTGGCAGATGAAGTGGAGCGTGAACAGAGAAATATATGAAGCGTATTCCATGCTAAAATCAAACGTTCGAACGTCTAACCGACCGTCTACCGAACATCTTGAGCTTTGAGCGTCTTACACTGCGGGTGACCCACGTGAACTCTATACTTTATGAAAAGAAAGGAAAACAAATTTGGCGGAGTTAAAAACAAACATTGGCCCTCCAGGAGCGGGACTGAGAACCCTGACTAGATCTTCACATTAATTGAATGTGATTTATCAACACCATCTTTAAATTTGCAACATCTGTTGTAAATATATGTATAGGCCTATGTTTAAATATATACA